TTTTTGTTTTCTTTTGTTGCTTTGTTTTGCTCTGTCTTTTTTGTGTGCATATTATTATCTCTGCAGGTCTGTCTAGATAAGATAGGAGGGATAAAAAATCCAGAGGAGAAAACAACGGGACCAACAAACGGTTCCAAGGGGACAAGGGCTCACAATGGGGAGGCAGGGACAAGGAAGTGGGTGTTAACAAACCCAGGGACAAGGGAACAGCAAGTGATCTAATATGGATGGCAAGGAGGTTGTAGGATGCACCTGAATGACGGCCGGACATGATAGTGGGACAAGACGAAAGTAAAAGGAAATAGAGGAAAGAACTAGAGGCAAAGGGCATTTATAGAGGTCTAAATACAGGCATGTACATATGCAAATATATTTATATATAAAGATATGGAAATAGATTTATGTACATATATTTATATGTTAAGTATTAAGGTAGGTGATGAACATTGGGCCTCTACTCAAGTACTCCCTCAATGCAAGAACACTGTTTGTTTTTTAAATCATTTCACTGGGGGCTCATACAACTCTTATCACAATCCATACATCCATCCATTGTGTCAAGCACATTTGTATATCTGTTGCCATCATCATTCTCAAAACATTTTCTTTCTACTTGAGCCCTTGGTATCTAAACCGGCATTCCATGATGTTCAGCTTCCCAACGAGATCACTGAAGAGAAAAAGGGGTGCATAAGTAAATGTGGTGAAGAGAGCTCATGGTGCCCGGCTATCAAAAGATAGAGCCTCTGGGGTCTTAAATGCTTGAAGATAAACAAGCGGCCATCTAGCTAAGAAGCAACAAAGTCCACATGGAAGAAGCACACCAGCCTGTGTAATCAGGGCGTTGAAGGGATCATGGATCAGGCATCAAAGACCCAGTACAAAAAAAATCATATCAGTAGGAATGAGGGGGAGTGTGGAGTGGAGACCCAAAACCCATCTGTAGGCAATTGGACATCCTCATACAGAAGGGTCACAAGGAAGAGACAAGCCCGGCAGGGTGCACCAATGAAACATACAACTTACCTCTAGTTCTTTAATGCTTCCTCCCACCCACTATCATGACATCAGTTCTACCTGACAAATCCAGCTAGACCAGAAAAAGGGAACTGATCACCATGATCTACATATAACCCCCTCCCAGGGGGATGGACAACAGAAAAGTGGGTGAAGGGAGACATCAGACAGAGTAAGACATGAAAAAATAATAATTTATAAATTATCAAGGGTTCATGAGGGAGAGAGAGTGGGGGAGGGAGGGGAAAAATGATCTGATACCAAATGCTCAAACAGAAAGAAATGTCTTGAAAATGATGGTGGTAACATGTACAGATGAGCTTGACACAATGGATGGATGGATGGATGGATGGATTGTGATGAGAGCTGTACAAGCCCCTATAAAATGATTATTTTTTTTAAAAGCCACTGCATGATTCTGTGATTCTTCTTGTGTCTTTATGCCATCAGCAGGGTCCAGAAGAGGGGCTGATCTTCAACCTGGGTCTGAAATGGGGGTGTCTCAGTTCTCTAGAGTTCTGTAGTAAAACAAAACTGGTGTGAGCGAAAGAGGGCTGATCTATCTAATTGTTGGGTTTGTTCAAGGAATTAGCTCACAGATTGTGCAGGGCTGGCAAGTCCAAAGTCAGGCTAGTCCAGGATTCACATTACCTTGGCAGTTGAGGCCCCTTCCATGATGTGATCTAAAGGACTGTAATCATCCCCCGATAGGATCTACTGTGAGCAGCCAAGCAGGTGTGGGATGATTAGGGTAAAGTACAACCCCTTACTTAGGTCACAGCCCCAAGGAGGTTTCCTGGGGGTGCGGCCCACTTGAAATGTAAGTAGGCAACTGGAAAGCTTCTTTGCCTTTGCTGGTCTACATCCTGGATCTGGTTCTTTGGACTTGAGTCAATGACCTGCCATGTTGCCTCCCGACCCTGGGGGCCATCCGAGCCTGCCATCTGACCTGCTGTACTCAGACTCATCTGCCCCGGTATTTACCAGCTGTGGTATTCCTACTGCACCTTCCAGCTTCCTGGTGTATCAGCCCTGGCAGCTATGCAAGTCAGGAAAAGCCTCCAGCTTATCATCTGACCTAGCCTGAACTTCCTGGGGTTACAACTGTGTAAGTCACTTTCTTGGGGTGGGGAGTATATATATGTTTTTGCTTCTCTAGGGAGCCCAGACTACCACAATTTACTTTATGGAATTAGCTCAAATGATTGTGCAGCGCTAGTAAGTCCCAAGTCAGGCTGGAGGCTCCTGCCAAGTTGCACAAGAGCTGGAGGTGAGGCGAGGTGAGGTAAAAGGAAGAGTCAAGGAAGAGTTCTGCCCAAATGTCTATTGACAGTCTGGAGGCAGAGCCCACCCTAGAGGGACTCCTGCTCCTCAGCGCTCCAATGGATTGGGGCTCCCTCACATTAGGAACATCATCTGCTTCACCTCCAGCCGGTGATTTAACCACAGGTAACTGCTCTGTATCAGTAACTAGCTGCAGGCACCGGCATATGTGCCCCAGACAGTATTCATTCCACAAGCGTCTGCCAGGTGGCAGTGTGTGCCAGGGCAGGCAAAAGATTCAGTGCCAACCCTCAAGGACCTCACAGCTAGGGAGGGGAGGAACGAAACATACTGCTTTCAATAAAAGTATTTAAAACAAGTTCTGTAAATCTAATCACTTACAATCCTATCAAATCAAATCACACACACAAGAATATATAGGTCTAGGCAGAGACAGACTTGTGCACAGGTAGTGACCGACTATGTTAAAGGTTCAGGGACAGGAGTGGGCACAGGGCACCACGGGAGGGAAATGGCCCAGAGGACCTGAAGTACATCATAGGAGAGGCGGCGTTATGGTCGAGACCCGGCTGCAGGCCAAGAATCCCTAGTTCTCTCCAATAGAAAGAACCAGAGACCGCGTCCTCCCTCTCGGGAAGGGCACTAGTTTGGACCTCACAGGGGCTAGCACATCTTCACTATCGTCATGGAGGAGACTCCCAGGACCGCACGGACTTCCTGGCACTGAGAGCCTCTGGAGGCACTGGGAACGTGCTTCCAATACCAGGCCGGCCTCCATCCTGTCCCAGCGACCAGGAGACACTGCCTGACCGTCCTGCAGCCACCAGCAAGGGGACCACCGAGTCTGGACCCTCTACGTGCCCTGGCTCAACTCATCACCCCTTTCTACTGGGAAGCAGAAGACATCCCAGAGAATGCAGACACGAACGCAGGAGGGGTCCTGCGTTGGGGCGAACAAGCCCTACATTAAAGCAGCAGTAAGAATTAACACGGGACATTTCATCATGACTGAAAGCATTTCGAAAGAAGCAGAGACTTTACCCAAAAACATTTTAGTGTATTTTTTAATCACAAGGAAACAACAGATTTACATTTTATTTTGTTTAGTATTGTCTACTATTTGTCTAATATTGTATTAAAAAAAGAAGAAGTGCCTGGTGGTGTAGTGGGTTATGTGTTGCCCTGCTAACCGCAGGGTCAGCAGTTCAAATCTATCAGATACCCTTTGAGAGACCGATGAGGCATTCTGCATTTGTAGACTTACAGCCTTGAAAATTCGCAGGGACATTCTACTCTGTCCTATGGAGTCACTGGTTATGAATCAGAATCCACTCAACAGCAGTGCATTTTTTTACTATTACTATTTTTCGTTTTGTCTGAAAAGACAGCAGCCTTGATTTAGTAGAAAATGGCATTTGGGCATGAGGAGCGGCTGGGAGAGGAGAGCCCAGCAGCCACCGTGCTGCCTGCACTCTGGGAGGAGAAGAAATGGGGAGCACACAGGGGAGGTGGGAGGGACAGAGCCAGCAGTGGGCCAGGTGGGACAGGCATTGGGGAGCAGGGACAGCAGGGTGCATGTGAGGTAGAGGGACGGTGGGCACACCAGCTCACCTGCAGTAAGGTGCCTGTGTGGGTGCACATGCCTGTGTGTATCTTGGTCAGGAGGCAGCAGCCAGAGCTCTTGAGTGGGGTGGGTGCGGGGGGTGGGGTGGGGAATGGGTTGGGGGGGAGAGTGGGTCTTGCCTGAGGAGGTACACTCAAACCCAGGGGAGAGGCAGCACTCAGGCAGCTGCACCCCGGGCTCCTGATGGGTTGTGGGCCAGCAACAGGAAAGGGCGATGGAAAGAGCTGTGATCTGGCCAGTGGGGTTCCGGTCGCAGAGGTAGAGTGTGTGGGCATTCTGTGCAGGATGGAGGTTGCAAAAGACCCCAGGGGAGTGGGCAGTGGGAGCTGTGTCCCTGCTGCGAGTGTCCACAGTGTACAGGTGAGTTGGACGGTGAGGCTGGAAAGGGAGGCTGAGGGCAGACCTGGGCAAGTCCTGCAGCAAGCGGTGCACCCTTAAATTGGCTCGATAACAGGGGATCCTTGTTTGCTCATTCTTTTAGTCACTTAAGAAAAGTGTATGGAGTGTAAACCCATATGCAGGTGAGCGAGTGAGCCCACAGGCCAGCTTGGCAGCTTGTGATGCAGGGAGCTGCTGTCCCTGCAGGGGGAGGTGGCGGCTGGGCCGGTCCAGGGGGAGGGCTGGACGCTGGACTAGGGTGCGGCACTAGGAGAAGCCACTTCCCAGGGAGGGAGGGCTTGGTAGGGTTAGTCAAGAATGACAAGCCCAGTAGCCAGGCCAAAGCCTCCAGCAGTGGCCACGGGGAGTACAGAGCCACACCAATGTGCGGGGTGAAGGAACAGGAAGATGGGGCTTTGGGGGTGGGAGGCACGGGGGCGGGGCTCCGGTAACCTGCAGGGGTCCCCTGTCAGTGGCCATGGTGGTCTTAGCTCCTCTGGTCTTCATGCCTGTAGCTGTCCTCGTAGTTTGGCTCTCTGGGAAGCTCCCTTATCTGCTCCGGGGGCTCCCGGTAGATCCTCCGATCCCTGTGGGGCAGGGAGAGCAGGAGAGGGGTGGGGTTGGACCTAGTGGGAAAGTGCAGTCACCAGGCCCACCTTCCCACTGCCTACAGAGGGACAAGGGGGTAGGGGGCAGGCTCACATGGACAGGAAGGCGCTCCACCCATGAGCAGTAAGCTGTGGGTGTCAAGGGGACAGGCTGGCTCTGTGAGACCTCGGGGCACTGGGCCCAGGCCAGCCTTCGCCCTGACCTCGCCCCTGGCTCTGCAGTGGCCCACTGCCCCGTAGAGGTCACTGCTGCTGCTTTAGCTACAAAGTGGGGCTGCTTAACACCCTAAGCCCCACCCCCCACCCCCGTCCTGTGAGTGGGGAGGCTGTGGGACGGGGTGCCCGCCCCGACACTTACGGTCTGGCCCCCTCCTTGTCGTCGGCCTCGCCTTTGTTCCGGCAGCAGCAGCAGTAGACAATGACACCAATGATGATGAGGGCAGCTGTGACGCCCACCGCGATGCCCACGTACAGGGTCACGTTCATGGAGGCTGCAGGAGCACAGAGCGACTGTACCACCCAGCCTGCCGAAGCCAGCCAAGGAAGCCACGGCAGCTGGGGGGAGCCGCGAGGCCCAGCCCCCGGAGCAGCAGGACATATGACAGACTTGTCATTGCAGGACTGCGGCCAGCCCAGCCCGGGACTGCCCTCCAGGACTCCCTATGCCCCTACTGTGCTCCCGCTTCTCTGGGAGCTAGCGGTGGGGTCCAGAGGCCCCGGCAGCTGACTCTGCACTCTTCCCCAGGCAAGAGGCCGTCAGAGTGGACAGGTGATACAAGTTAGTCCAGGGCTCACTTCCTGAGAACCAGCGTCCCTGGGCTGGCCTCGAGGGGGGGAGGCTGGCCACCTTGCCTGGGCTAGTGCAGCTACCCAGCCGAGTGGTCCAGAGAGGCTCCCCATTAGTCCTAGAGGGGATGACTCTCCGGGCCTTGGATGCTCATCTCCCCACCCCTACTCCCCACCTCCGTCCCCACGCGGCCCTTACGAGGTCTGACAGCCAGGGTGATGTTGCAGGACTCCGCCCCCACCTCGTTGCTAGAGGTGCAGATGTAGTAGCCCGACATGTCTGTGGAGATGTTCTTCAAGAGGAAGGTCTGGCCCGTGACTGGAAGAGAAGAGCAGACAGTGAGCAGCTAGGGGGTCGCGGATGAACCCAGACCACCACCCAAGGCAGTGAGGCCCAGGTTGTGTCTCCGAGGCCCAGGCGCCGGGACTTGGAAACCGTTCACCAGCTGCCTGAGTTTGGCATGTTAATCCGCTCCCCCAAGCCCGCTAACTCACTGGCAAAAACACAAACCCACCGCTACTGAACTGATTCCATGTTACAGCGACCCTATGGGACAGAGTGGAACTGCCCCTCGGGGTTTCCAACGCTGCGAATCCTCCCGGATGCAGGTAGCCTCATCTTTCTCTCAAGGAGCGGCAGGTGGATTGGAACCATCAACCTATCGGTTGGCAGTTGATCACTTAGCCCCTTGAGTCACTAGGACTTTTCACTTGTAAAACCAAAAAACCAACTCACTGCCATTGAGTCGATGCCAACTCACAGCAACCCTACAGGCCAGGGTAGAACTGCTCAGGTGGGTTTCTGAGACTGGGACGCTTTAAGGAAGTTAAAACGCCCTGACTTTCTCCAAGGGATAATAATGTTAGGTGCCATTGGGTCTGCCAGACCCATAGCGACCCTATGCACCTCAGAACAAAACACTGCACGGTCCTGAGCCACCCTCACAGTGGTCCCTCGTCTGAGCCCATGGATGCAGCCACCGTGTCACCCATCTCCTCCAGGGCCCTCCTCTTTACCAAACATGATGTCCTTCTCCAGGGGCTGGTCCCTCCTGGTAATATGTCCAGAGTAGATGAGATGAAGTCTTCCCTCTAAGGAGTGCTCTGGCCTTACTACTTCCAATACAAATGTTTATCCTTTTAGCAGTCCATGGTACTTTCAATATTCTTCTCCGGCACCACAATTTGAATGCATCTATTGTATGGTCTTCCCTATCAATGTCCAATTTTCACGTGCATGTGAGGCAATGGAGAATACCATGGCTTGGGTGAGGAGCACCTTAGCCCTCAAGGAAACATCCTGACGGACTCTTCAATACTCTGAAGGTCTTATGCAGCAGATTTACCTGACTCATCTTTTGATCTCTTGACTGCTGCTTCCATGAGCATTGATTGTGGATCCAAGTAAGACAAAATGCTTGACAATTTCAACCTTTCCCCATTGTTCATGCTGTTGACGTACTGGTCCAGTTGTGAGGATTTGGGTGTTCTTGACATTCAGTTGTAATCCCTACTGAAGGCTACAATCCTTGATCTTCATCAGCAAGAGCTCCAAGTCTTCCTCACTTTCAGCAAGCAGGGTTGTGTCATGTGCGTACCTCTAGATGTTAATAAGCCATCCTCCGATCCTGATGCCACACTTTTTTGTTTTGTTAAGCATACAGAGATAGTCAGCATACTGATTGAATAAGTATGGTGAGAGGATATAACCCTGGGGCACACCTTTGCTGATTCCAAGCCAGGCAATATTCCCTTGTTATGTTTGTACAACTGCCTCTTGATCCATGTACAACTTCCTCATGAGTCCAATGAAGTGTCCTGGAATTCCCATTCCTCAAGGTAATCCATAATCTATTGTGGTCCACACTGTCGAATGCCTTTACATAGTCAATGAAACACAAGCAAACATCTTTCTGGTATTTTCTACTTTGAGCCATGATCATCTGACATCAGCAATGACATTCCTTGTTCCGTGTCCTCTTCTGAATCCAGCCTGAACTGTTGGCAGTTCCCTGTCCATGCGCTGCTGCAACTGCTGTTGGATGATCTTAAGCAAAATTGTGCTTGTGTGTGATACCAATATCATTCTACAGCTTGAGCGTCCTGGTGGGTCACCTTTCTTATGTGTCTCTTCCAGTCAGTTGGCCACATTGCTGTCTTCCAAATCTCCTGGCATAGATGAGTGGGTGCTTCCAATGCTTCTTCAGTCTTCTGAAATATTGTTATGGGTATTCCGTCCGTTCCGAAGCCTTGTTTTTGGCGAATGCATTCAGTGCAGTTTGAACTTCTTCCTTCAGCACCATCGGTTCTTGCTCATATGCTCTCAACTATGTGTATTCTTTCCATTTGGAAGTGGGTAACAACACCTATCTTAAGATTATTCAAGGTGTTAAGTGAGCTACTATTTGTAGCTATCTTAACAAAGTACTTAGAACTTAAAGATCTTAGGAATGAATGACTCTTTTCTTATAAAAGCCTGATGGTTGGGGGTCTTTTTGCAAAAATTTAAGAAAAAATTTATTGACAGCTATAACCATAAGCAGCGCCAGGTCATAGACCCTTCTGAGCACGCAGGCAAGCGTGCGCGCGCACACACACACACACAGCCTCCAGGGTCACTGGAATAGAATACAAATAGCTGGGAATTCCAAAGCTCTGCCCTCGAGTTGATACCAACGCACTGCAGGACAGAGTGGAACAGTTGCTGGGGGTTCTGGGACTGTGAACTTGTACATCTTCATGGGGACAGATTGCCTCCTCTTTCTCCTGAGGAGCAGCTGGTGGGTTTGAACTGCAGGCCTTGCATTTAGCAGTCCAAGGTTCGGCCCACTGCCCCGTGAGTTCCAGTTGGGAGCCTGGAGTTCCTAGGCAGGTGTCCTTTCTATCATGAAATCCCACTGAGCCTTAGTCTCCGTGGCAAAAAAATCCCATGTCTGGGGCTTTAAGAAACAATGACACCTATTGTCCCTAAAGGGACACACAATTCTGAGGTGTTTAACGTGGCTTGACCCCTTACTAATTTTGTGACTTTGAGCAAGTAGCTTAGCCTCATGGTACCTCGTTTTCTTGACTTTGAAATATAGTTTTTTCATCTGCAAATGTTAACAGTAACAGTCCCTGTGTCACTGGGTGACTGTGAGCACAAAATGAGACAACAATAACAATGAGTCCACCATAGAATTACTGATGTGTACTGTGTTCAGGAAACTTCCTGGTGGCATAGTGGGTTATGTGTTGGGCTGCTAACCACAAGGTCAGCAGTTCAAGACCACCATCTACCCTTCATGGAAAAGCCAGGACTTTGTACTCCTAGAAAGAGTTAAAATCTCAGAAACCCACAGGCAGAATTACCCTGACCCTCCAGGTAGCCATGAGTGAGATCAACTCCGTGCAGTGAGTTTGGAATGTTGGGTGTTTCTTGTTTTGTTTTCAGATGTTAAATGAATTCATACTGTGTGAGGGTGCTTTACAATTAGGAGACATTGTGATGACCAGTTTGATCACCTCTAGAAACGGAATTCTGAGGCTGAACCTGTGTGGCAGATGAAGAACTCTGACCTGTGGATGTCTATGTGTGTGTCTGTATATAGACTGCAAAATCCTTCAACGCCTAAGCAAGCCATTTTACTTCCTTGAGTGAGTCAAAGCTACCTCACTTGGAAAGTGGACATGAAACCATCTCCCCTCCTGAATTCCGGGGGTGGACCAGGTGTCCTCCTGAGAGCCCTTGCTGCTCCATCCACGACCCTGTCCGTGTCAATCCCCCTCCCTTGAGAAGAGAGGGCTTTCTGTCTAGGCCTGTTGTTAGTGTGTCCTGGGCCCAAAGGCACCAGAGATTTAGAGACCATTGTCTTCTAACCTGTTTGCCTGCAGAGCCAGCCTTGGACGGTCCTTGCTGCCTCCGGGGTGGAGGAGCTACCGCCTGCTGTCAAGTCCATGTTGATTTACTACGACTTGTATGATAGAGTCGAACACACCAACCTTTTTGATTGGTAGCAAGTGCTTCATCGTTGTGCCACCAGGGCTCCTGCCAAAGAGGAGACCCAAATTGCAAACAGGGTCCTGTCACTACCTTGTTTGTGCACTTCAGAGGCTGCCCGCCATCTTCCGTGAGAGATCCAAACGTGTCCACTCAGTTACAAGCGTGGCTCAGGAACCGCGCCAACTCCACTGGGGTCCCAGGGGCAAAAGCAGGTGAGCGGCCACCAGCCGCTTGCACGATGGCCCCTTGGAGTGGATTTCCCGGTCTGCGTCCAGTACCCATCCTCACGTACGACATCTGCCCAGCGCTCGTGTGTGGCAGGAGGAGCAAAGCTGCCAGTTCCACGGAGGCACCGGGAGGCTCAGCCACGTTAAGTGGCTTTTGCTTAAGGTCCTGCAGTTAAGACCTGGCAAAGCTGGATAAAGTCCAGTTTGAAGCCTAGAGCTCCCTGGAGCGGCCGACAGCTTCCTTAAGAGCATTGTTTGTTAACATTTGAAAAATCACACATGCTCGTTATAGGCATTTGCATGTTGCCTAAGATGATGATGAACATCTTCATAGGCTGATCCCAGCCACACACTCAACAAAGTGTGTGTCCTCTTGCAGTCCACAGGGGAAGACAGGCACAAAACAATACAAACAGAAGTGTTGGCGCTCCTAGCGAGGGAAGTCCGTCTCTAGCCCACCCAAAGGGTCAAGGGAGGCCTCTGTCAAGAAAGGAAGAATAAAATACAAACGATCCACAATCTCACCACCCAGAAACAATAGCACTTCGATTCGGGTTATTTCTTCCAGTCTTCTCACACGTACTTTCTTCAGTCTCCCCCTGAAACCCACGCTCACCCCTCTCGGGGCGGCCGTCCTCTGTAAACCACCCACCTCTGCTAGAATTCCATCCTTCCGCGAGTCGTCCAGAACGTGTTATGAACACGCTGCTACACAAGGGTCCGTGGCCACAGGAAGTTCAGCAATCACGGAGCGGACGTTAAATGAGTTGCTTCACGTCTGAAAGCTCAGCGCCTTTCCCCCTATTTATTAATTTTATAGCTCAATGGTTGGATTTAATCTTTGCTCTCCAAGTCATTTCTTCATTCAGTAAATATATACTCGGTGTCTGCTGTGTGCCAGTTGCTTGGGGGAACCCTTTTGGGTTGAGGATGGAAACCCTGTTCCTTAGCAATCCACACCGAGCTACCCATCTGCCCTTCAGGCATGTGTACGGTCAGAGGGATGCCTGGTCCCTTGGATCCAGGGCTCGGGACCCTCCAGTCCTCAGCTCCCAAGTCTTCCCACCCACTCTCAGCACTCCACGGATGGCTGTGGAGCCCACATGCAGCACCCAACAGGACAGTCCTCAGTGAGCAGGCAGGCGGGCCTGAGCGCTCACGAGGTGCAGGGTGAAGAATAGTCCTCGCTTACTACTCAAGGTCCAGCCTGATGACCGGTCTGGGTTTGAAGCTTGGCATTTCTGTGTCCATCAGGGCTGTTCACGTGATCAAGGTCCCTGAGAAAGGGCTGTGGTATTAATGACCTCTTTTTCTATACGAATTGGACCACGCAATTATTAAAATTTTCATTTTGAGGAGGCTTCCTGAAGGAGCATGTTTTGGGAAATACTCCCTTAACCCCCTGACTCTGGGCACCCCTGGGGGGGCGGGGCGGACCTGTAGCTCCTGTCAGAGTCCCACTGCTGTAGCCTGTGAATGCTGCCCATGCACCAGGAGGTCCCTGGTGGTGCACATGGTGAGTGTGCGCCGCTGCAAACCAAAGCTGGTGACTGAGGCCACACAAAAGTGCAGCAGAAGAAAGGCCTGGTGATCAGCTTTTGAAAACCATGTGAAGCACAGCTCGACTCTGACACATAGGAGTCACCGGGAGTCAGAACTGATTTGATGGCCGTTGGTTTTATTAGATTCCCATAGCACATTGCAAGGAGCCCTGGAGGCGTGGTCACACCTTGAGCTGTTAACCACAAGGTCGGCAGTTCAAAGCCCCTGAGAAAGATAAGGCGTTCTACCTCCCCAAAGAGTTACAGTCTCAGAACCCAGAGGGGCCATGCCAACTGCCCTATTCTGAGTCAAAGTCCACTCAATGACAGTGAATTTGGTTTGGGTTTTATAGTTCTTTGCAGACAGGTCCGAGTTGGAAGCTACCTCGGGATCTTTCCAGACATCAAAGCTCTACACAAAGAAACTGCCTTGTGGTGACCTCGGGCTAACTCCTATCATTGGAGTTGAGGCTCCCATGCCCCCTCACGGTCTTGCAAGGGGCCCGAAAAACCAAAAGCCCAATCCCGAGTCATGGAGACATCACAGGACAGGGCAGAGCTGCTCCTGTCAATTCCCAACACGGTAGCTCTGTATTGGTGCAGAGAAGACAGCGACCCCTGCCCTCCCTGCCCCCACACCAGCAGTTGGTGCTTTCCAGAACTCAGCTCCTAAAACTCTGGCTAAAACGGTTACCGCTGCAGCGGCGACACCTGGTGGTCAACGAGGAGTTGGCTTGTCGGCTTCCCTGGGCTCCCGAGGGGGTGGACTTCCCTCCACACTGAAGTCTCACATTATCGTCAGCAAGCCTTCTAGTAGGTGATGCGGTTCTTCATCCTGGTGATTCAGGCGGTTAGCACAGGGCTGAGTGACTCACAGCTAGGACATGGAGACCCCAGACCTCCTCCTCTGTTTATGGGAGTCCAGATTGCCTCTTCTTTTCATGGTCAGCTTGCTGCCAGTCGTAGGCCGCTAAGTCAAAGGAACGAATCCCTAGTGGTGAAAATTTTGTCTTCAGAGGAGTCGGGTGGAGGACCCCTCCTTTCCAAACTGTGGGCTGAAACATTTGTAAAGTCAGACACAGGCAGGGGCTGGCTCGGAGGGGGCTCTGGGGACCGGATGGAGGTGAGAGGTTTTGAGGTGAGTGTTGCTGTCACCACTGACCACTGCTGGGGCCCAGCCCTGACGCTGGGCGCATCTTCACCTGTGGCGAATCCCTCCTCAGCCCACTTGCACGTCCTCACGATTCCAGTGGGCCCCTAAAGAACGATGTCTTCTGGGCTGCTAACAACCTGGGAATCTCTTCCAGAGGAGGCAGGAGAGTTGTGCCCAGGCTGCCGTGTGCTCCTTTAAGTGTCCTCTGCGGTACAGTGTCCCCAAGAGGAACTGTCACCCTACCCATCACCTGTAACCGCCAGCTTCCGATCCCTGCGTACACTTGGCTGAAAGGGAGGTTGGCCCCGTCATTGTCCACGGCAGGCAGACCATGGATGGTTATTCACAAGCCAGGCTCACTCAACAAACATCGGCCAACAAGATGCACACTGACACCCGAGGAACCCTGCTGCTGCGCTCCCAGTTTGCATGAGAGCATGTGGATTCTGGTCACTGGTTTTTAGCTGGAGAAGTGTCTGCTTTGCCCACCAAACAAGTGAAAGGTAGAGCAACCAAGTTCACTGTGTGCCCAAACCCCCAATCTGCACACAGTGGGCCTGGCTTACCCATGCCCCACGCCTGGGCTCTCCCTCGTTCCCCATCTTCTGTGAACATTGGCTCGTGCCCACTGGCTCCCTCACCACCTCCCACCTCCTCGAAGCCTCCTTGGAACCGAAAGCCCTCCAGGTGTTTGTCTTTCTGGATCTTCAGGAGCACTGGGAGGAGCGGACCAGGCAGTGGGGAGGGAGGGGGATCCTGGGCCTAAACCCGGTGGGCCCCACAGTGGGGTATTTGTCTCCATCATCTGTTCCTTTTCCGTTTGTTTCCTGGCCCAGAGGCCAAATCCCAAGTGGCCCAGTAGACAGCCCGTCTCCTGGCAACCGTAGCTGAACCTACCATCCTTCTCCCTGAGAAGACGGGACGGGACCCTCACAGCGGAGGTGTCGAGGTTGTCGGGTGTGGCCGTAAAGGAGTGGTGTTTGGGGAGGTGGGGTCAGTGGAGGAGTCGGAGATGGCCTGGTCTGGACAGGGGAATAGTGGGAATAGGAAGCCCCCTACCTGTGGTGTGCATGCATTGGGCTGCTAACAGCAAGGTCAGCAGTTCAAAAGCACCAGCTGCTCCTCAGGAGAAGGACAAGACTTTCTACTCCCTTGACGAGTTATGTCTCAGGGCAGCTCTACCCTGTCCTCCGCGATTGCCGTGAGTGGACGGCAGCGAGCTTGGAGTTGGGGTTCCCCTTGGATGGAGCCGTTAGGGTTTGACTTACAGCCTTGAACACTTTTGGATAACACCAGCATCAACTGAAAATCCCATTTGGGGGCTCACAGAGTAACTGATAATGCCTGCTTGTTCGAGAACAGAATTGTGGCAAAGAAGGAAAATAATAGTCAATATCTTAGTCAGTGGTTCCTACAACAATGTACTAGGATCCCTGGTGGTGCTGTGGGTTTGGCATTGGGTGCTAACCGCAAGGTTGGAGGTTCAAAGCCAACAGCTGATCTGTGATCAGCAGGAAAGAGCGGAGGCTGTCAGTTCCTGTAAAGATTTAGTCTCACAAGTGCAAATGGGCATTTCTACTCCTAATCAGAACCTGTTCTGAGGCAGTGAGTTAGATCGAGATGGCAGTGGGCTTGGTTTTGATTGGATTACAGGGCATTGTGCTACGTGCTTTGCATGAATCATTTTTCCCCCAAGCTGAGAGGTATTCTCAACCCCTTTCTATAAGTGAGAACAAATGGACTTAGAAAGATATCCCAATGGCTACCACTGGGCAAAAGGGCACACTTCAGGGGGATCTGATTGGTCGCTGCCAGGGTTTGGCAACACTCGCCCACCAGCTGCACCTGAAAGAAGGAACTCCCACCTTCCTGCTGACTCTTTACCTGGTTGGGGCAGGGGCCGCTCCTGGTTCAGGATGTTGTAGCTCTTCCAGCTGTATTGAGGGGCCGGTGAGCCCTCTTTTGAGGCGCAGGTCAGCTCGATGTTGTTCCCCAACACGGTCTCTCCCTTGATGCCGCACTCTGGCTTGGACGGTACCACTGGGTGGAGGAGGAGTCAAAGGGGAACATGAATCAGGTGGTTCTTGGAGACAGCACTGCTCCAAACACACGCGGATGTGATCAACCCACCTCCCTCTTTCTCCAGTGGCCTCCCACCATCCCATCGGGCGGCATGAACGAGCAGCTTCCTGGACAGTCTCTACTACGTGCGGGACATCGACCTTAGGGAGGTGGGGATACTGAGGCCCACACTGGGGATGGCTCGAGCAGAGTGGTAGAGCTAGGAGTTGAACCAGCCTCCGACACTGACTTACCAGGCCACTGTCGGTAGACCCTTCCATTTCTCTGGGCTTCAGTGTCCCCATCAGTAAAACAAGGGGCAAAAGAGCTTTTTCGAAAAAGGGCCAGATAGCAAATATTTTCAGCTTTGTGGGTCACACGTGGCTCTGTCGCTGCTGTGTCTCTTTCCCCTCCTCCTTTTACAGTAACTCCTCAGAAATGGAGAAGCCACGCTGGGCTCACAGTGAAAACAGGCAACCGGCTGGATTGGCTGTGGTTTGCCTCTCTCTGGGTTACGCGGTCTCTGTTGGGTCCCACGGAGTTGATTCAGGCTCGTAGCTGTGCCATGGGGTGGAGTAGGACTGCCCACTGGGTTTCCTACGTTCTGAGCCAGGAGCTCTGGCGGGATAGTGGGCTATGGGCTGGGCTGCTAACAGCAAGGTTAGCAGTTCAAAAGCACCAACTGGTCTGCAGGAGAGAGATGAGGCTTTCTACTCTCGTGAAGAGTGAGAGACTAGGAAAAGCCCCAGGATAGTTCCACGGTGCCTACAGGGCAGCAACGAGTCAGAGTCCACTCGACGGCAGGGAGCTGAGTTGGATCTGTATGGAAGCAATGGCCACACCTTTCTCCCGTGGAGCAGCTCGAGAGTGCAGCGGGACCTCTCCCCACGGCTCCACCCTGGCACCTCATGATGGTACTAAAACAAACCAGGCATCCCATGGCTGTTGAGTACAATTCTGACTAAATTCTCACTGCTGATATTGGGCAAGAGGAGATTTGCCCAATAGGTAATTTACAGAAGTTAACTGCGAATACCATATCTCCAGGTGCCATAAATTGCATCCGCTTAGCAAGAAATCTCTAAGGGAATCTAGAAGGTTGTGTTGAGTCCAGAGGAACATATGTGTCCCACATACCCCTCCTCCCAGAGGGATACATGTGTCCATGTAATACATACGAAAACCCATACTCCCGGGGGGACGGACACCAGAAGCGTGGGTGAAGGGAGACAGTGGATGGTATAAAATGTGAAAATAAGAATAATTTATACATTATTGAGGCTTCATGAGTGTGGGAGGACGGAGGAGGGGGGAGGGAAGGGAAAAATGAGGAGCTGATACCAAGTGCTCAAGTAGAAAGAAAATGTATTGAAAATGATGATGGCAACATATGTACAAATGTGCTTGACACAATGGACGTACATATGGATTGTGATAAGAGCTGTAAGAGCCTCAAATAAAGTGATTATTAAAATTAAAAAAAACATTTCATAACAAAAATTCAGCCACATCCCTTCATTCCGTATGGCTTCCCTTACTGAACACGCAGGTGTCAACACAAATTCAAAGCAAAAGTAAGTGGGTCATGAAAGGGATTCAGTAGGAGGCATCCTTTATATCACCGCTCATCTGGCAGTCTGTCACACTGGGACCACGGAAGCTGTGCCACCAGTATTTAGATACCAGCAGGGCCACTCATGGTACACAGGTATCTACCTTTGAAACGTAGGCCATGAAAACCCCGTGGATCACAAAAGAACACTGGCTCACTTGCTTTGGACCTGTATTTGCCTGACACCAAAAAACCCCCACTGCCGCCTGGTCCATCCTGGCTTGTGGTGACCCTGTGGGTTTCTGAGGCTGTCAGTCCATACGGAGGGGATGACCTTGTCTTTCCCTCTCAGTGGCTGGTGGGTTTGAAAAGCCACCTTATGGTTCCTCAGTCCAAAGCTCACCCAACAGTGAGCGCCTTTGGGCCGAGTTATTAGCAGAGATCAATGGTTGGCGGAGAGAGGGCATTGGGCTTGTGAGTGTGAGCGAGGCCCGCGGGGTGGACGGCGGGAGTGACCGCTGAGGATGGACTATAGCCGCGGTCCGCAAACTTTGGAAAAAGAAGAGCCAAATCCTGTCCCTCACAACAATTTAAAAATTACAGAGCCACACATTTTACAAACAAAAAAGAAAATACTGGCTTCACCGAATTTTACAAACAAACATGATCACTATAATCTGAATAACATCCTTTAAACATTTTCAATTTTGTCTCAGAGCCACGTGGACATACTGAAAGAGCCACATATGGTTCCTGAGCTGCAGTTTGCCGACCCTGGAGTAGGTCATGCGGGTGGTCATGAAGGTGCTGCTGCACCAGCGACATATTTTTCTGGTAACCAGGAATCAGAGTTATACACGGCATCCATCTATCTATCTATCTATCTATCCATCCATCCATCCATCCATCCATCCATCCATCCATCCATCCGACTGTCTGCCTGTCATCCATCTATCATCTATCATGCAGCAGGAAAATCAAAACCAAGCCAAACTGCCAGGAAGCCAAAACCCACCACCCCTAGCCACCCTCCTATTAGTGTCCGAGACTGTAACCGTTTCCAGGGTAGAAAGTCCCGTCCTTCTCCCACGGACCATAAAGAAAGTAAGTTGGACATAATTTTTAAAAGGACTATTAAATCCTTAATTCACCCCAAGAGCAGAATTAGAACTAATAGCACACAAGGAAGCAAGCCACTTTCAAAAGACGCTTGTGAACGGAGCCCCGCCACCCTCACCCCTGGCGCCCCTCAGACCTGCCGCCCCTCAGCTTCAGTACCCAAACTCCCTTCACCTTAGCCCAGGCAGCCAGACGGCCCTCATTCGGTCCAGATCCCTCACGGAAGCTCTCTGGTCCCCCGCCCTCCCCACCACTCCCACCTGTGTGCAAACAGCTCAGTTCACTCGGACAGACCTAGTTCATACAGCGTTTCGGGCCCTGAGCCCTCCGGTGCCTCCCCTCGGTCTCTGCCCCTCCAGCGAATGCAGATGCGACCTGACTGCTATGGACCGCGGGAGGAGAGGTGAGAGGCACCAGATCTGCTCTGGAGCCTCTCGGGCACACTCCCCTCACCGCAGAGCTCCGCCGAGAGACTGCGTTTCCCACTATGGACGCCAGGGAGCGCCAGAGGCCGGGGGACGGCCGACCCGCTCGGCGGCGGCGGCGGCGGCGGCGGCGTTGGGGGAATCTATTTGGTGGCTTCTGAACCAAGATGCGGGGCTGCGGAGGCCAGGCGCGGGACTGCGGGGTTGCAGCCTATCTGGAAGCTCCCGGCTCGCCCTGCATAAGTGGGAGATCACCGAGCCTGAGTGGGACTGCCCCGTATAATTAAAGCCCTTCTACCTAAATAGAGCTGCAAAGCCAACAGGAAAAGTTTAGTGATTTAAAAAAAAACAAAAACAAAACTGGATTTCTAAACATAGTTCAAGATTATGTCACTCTCTTTTATTAAAGAAAACATTGGCTTCACCGAATTCCGTCATCTTACATTTGCACCCTTCATTCATCCAGTGAAGGAGATCCTGAGTAGTGGTTACGGGCTGGGCTGCTAACGGAAAGGTCAGCAGTTCAAAACCAAGCAGCTCCGTAGGACAAAGACGAAGCTTTCTACTCCTGTAAAGAGTTAGACAGTCTCAGGAATCCACAGGGGCAGTTCTACCCCGTCCTGTAGGGTTGCTATGAGTCGGCATCGACTGGATGGCAGTGAGGTTGTTTCCATGGGCCTGAGCCCGCACCTCGGTCCCCGGAAGCAGCTGCCACGCGCTGCCAGCAGAAGGTGGGCGCTACGTGAGGGGTGCCAGAAGGAGGGCCTGCTGGGAGAAGCTGGGAACTCAGCTGGGGACAAACTGAGACAATGCGGAGTGGGGTGGGCGTGGGTAAGAACTGTAGGATGAGAAACAGGGTAAAAACTGCTTGGGAGGATCTCTCCCAGCGAATCACCCAAGGAACTACTGCAAGTACAAGTTAAAAGGTATGCCCACACCAAGGGTGCTTGACATTACAATCACGTGAACTGGACGCAGCTTAAATACCCAGTCCCGCTGAGGAGGGCGTCTGTGCACCCACTTGATGGATGGGGGCCCAGCTGGAAGAGCAGGGGGAAAGGGGGGGCGGAGCCAAGACTGTGACATGAGGAGCAGGGAACAGAGAGAAGTACCACTGGTTAGACTATGAAGACAGTTGTGCACATGTAGATAGGAGCTGGCAGAAGAAGCGGAGAAATGTAAACCACTGTAACTGTAATTCAGGTGAATGTTTTCCTTTGTAAGTGTAGTAGGAGTTTTTAGAGAGGCAAGGTGGCACCAAACACAGCCTTTGCCCATTTGCTTGTGTTGGCGCGAGGACGGCTGCTGGCAGTGCTGGGAGAATGAGAGCAGAGCTGAGTCTCGCTCCACGAGACATGCGGACCCAGGGAGCCTTCCTCAGTCAGACGGGCAGCGCCACCCCCACGTCCCCGCTCAGTGGAGCAGGAGAGAAACCCCACCGCGGCACTCCCACCTGGCCTTCCCCTACCTAGCATCTCAAGGTCAAAGCACGGACACTCACTACCACGGAACCGCTGCCCGGAAATGTCTAGAAGCACAGTGGGCCCCGGGGTTTGGCTCTGGTGTTGGATTGCTCTGACTGGCTGCAGTGCAGGAGATCCTGGTCCGGGGCGACCCTATGGGTGCAGAGTAGAACTGCTCGTAGGGGTTTCAAGGCTGTAATCCCTCAGAAGCAGTTGGTGGGGCCCACATTTTGAGGCCCCTCTGGGTGAGTTTGAACCATCAACCTTTCAGCTAGAAGGGCTGGAAATGATGCCACAGCTCCAAGACCCTCAGAGCTTCCCGATACAAGCGGGAAACAGCTGTCCACGTGTTGGCAGGGTGGTGGGACTTCAGTCTCCCAGTTGCCCTGGGCAGGGTGGACAAACACTTGTAGAGTGCTC